ATTTCATGGCTTTTAGGACAGTCACACAGCTCTCCCAGCGTCTGAATCACTTCTGAAACATCTGCGTCATCCTGAAGGGAACACTGTGCCACTGTGCCTCTCCACACCCCCATCTCCCCATCCCTGCCTCACCCCCAGCCGAGCTCCGCTTTTTTCTCTGGGGATCTGTGACTCAGGCAGTGTCCAGCCTCTCTCTCACTGGGCACCGAGTGGCCAGGCCCAGCCTCGCCGTGGCTGCTATCCCTGCACGGACCCATTCACCAGCCCATCAGCCCTGCACCCCATTTCTGGCCAGGTGACGCTCTTGTCGCCAGGCAGTGGCAGCGTGGGGCCGTGGGCAGCTCTGTGTTCTACATTTTCAGGACCCACCAGGCTCTGTCCGCCACCCCGCCCCACCCTTCCATCCCCACCCTGGCTGCTGTGGCTCAAGGCGCCTGTGTTCTGCAGAACCTCGGGGATCCAGGTGTGTGGCCCCCGGGTCTAGCTCCGGGCTTCCTGGACTCGGTGGACTAAGCTCTCGTCCTCACCATGAGACAACAGACCCGGTCCTCGGACTGCTCCTTCTGTCCCCAGCCCCCCATCTTCCCCTCCCCCTTCTCTCTCCAGGCCTCACTGGGACACCCCGGGCCTCCTTCCCCGGAGACCCCACACCACTCGCAGCACTGAAGCAGACCACCGCCTGCTGCTGAAGTTTCCAAGGAGCAAATTGATGCGAAGCACTGTGCACCCCATTCATTCTCGCTAGCGTTGCTGGGAGAGGTCTTGTCCTTGTCAGTAAGAACCCAGGCCACTGTTGTGGGGTGTGACCAGAGCAGCCCCTGAATGGGCCAGCACTCCACTGTCGCTATCTTGAAATCTTTTCAAGGAATTTGCCACCATTCTGGGTGAAATTCTTGAGTGCTGAACACGGGACTGAATTTTGTTTTTGCACAGGGCCCTCGTTGTGCCTCTGCCTCCTCCTGGAGTCCCGGGGGCTCCCCTCGTGGCGTCAGCCTCAACACCCACAGCCGAGCCCGCTGAACCAGGGCGGCTGGGGCTGGGCACTGCAGGTGCTCACCCCGCCCCGCCTTTCCCCTAAATGGAGGGTGGGAAACAACCGGCCAGCGGACGTCAGGGGACAACACGAGCGGCTTCCTGTGGACTCACTTCTCTAAGTGTGAACCTCTGGCTTTGCTGCGGAAACAGTAACAAGTCTGATGGCCGAGGAGGCCCAGACCGTGCCCTGGGCCATGTGCCGTGGTCTCTGCCCCTGATGTGCTAGGACACGTGAGGCCCGGGGCAGATAAGAAGCCAGCACCCCCCTGAGGTGATATTTTAATCCCCTCTTAAGAAGCCGAGCAAACTAGGCCCAGAGGTTAAGCAATTTAGATCACACAGCTCCAGCCCAAGTCCCAGACCTGAGTGTGTCCAGGGAAGAGTGCTCCCCCCAGACTCGGCTCAGAGACACGCCCGCCCCGACTTCCAGGCCTCTGCTATGCATGGCGCGGCAGGGGGCCCCAGCAGGCCCTGCCACCTCCTCTGGAGAGGGTCCCAGTCGCTGAGAGCCCTCACGCCTCCCCCCAAGAAGTCTCCTGCAGCTGGGGTGCAGGTCCTGGGCTCCTCCCCATCCCCCCAGGGGTGCTAATTGCTGAGCTACTCAGGCAATCAAGAACAAAAGGACGGTGGTGCAAGCCTGTAATCCCAGCATTTGGGAGGCTGAGGCAGGAGGATTGCCACAAACTGCAGGGCGGCCTGGGCTACAAGGTGAGTGCAAGGCCAGCCTCAACTGCATAGCTAGCGAGACCCTGCCTCAAAAAAAATAAACAAACAAAACAACAAAAAACGGGGGAGGGGGACAAGAGGGGAAGAAAACCAACCTGGCTGGGGGGGGATGGGAGCTCGGGGACCTCTTGTCCTGCAGATGGATGGAGGAGGGGAGGAAATGCAGCGAGGCCCGACTTTCCCACATCCTCTGCACCAGCATCTCCTGGCTTCCTTCAGGTCTCACCCAGTGTCCCCTCCATGTCGCGCCACTGATCTATGTAGCACGCACAGCATGCTCCAAGACACCTGTCCCTCCTGACAGCCTCTGAACAGAATTTATCCCTTTTCAGGCCTCCCCTCTCTGGAAGGGCTTGGGGTCTTGTTCCCAGGGTCCCTGTGGCACAGGGGTCTGGCAGGCAGGAAGAGCTTGGTCAGCGCCTGCTGACTGCATTGGCACCGTGAGTCCTCAGTTAGCACCTCTGGCCCTGAGCTGGGCGCCCCCTCGGACATGGGGTCTCTTGTCCCCCAATCCTCTCCTCTCACAGCTTTCAGAATCAACCCCGGATGTCCCTGTCCTTGTTTCTGCCGGATCGCAGGGTCACCAGAGCCAGAATCACGGTTTGCTGCCCTACCCCAGGGCAGTGGTCCCTGGGTCTCTGTGGCGGCCAGGCCCATGCTGTGCTGTACAAACATTGTGGGCACTGAGGCCAAATGGCAGCAATGTGCCAGCTTCTAAGCACCCTTGGTCATCTCAAGGGGAAGAGAGAAAAACCTTGTTTCTAGTCAAAACCATTCGGCTAAGAAATACATCTGGATGAGAATTGTAGGAGGAAAGCACCCAGGCATCAGGAGCGGCCTCCAGGGTCCTCTCTCTCCCTGAGGCCTGAGGGGCTCTCACTCCCTCACTGCCCCTCCCACTGCTTCGTGCCAAGGCCTCTGGGTTTCCAGCGGCAGGTCTGATCCTTCCAAGAGCACAGAGTTTTAGGGCTTGAAAGCGAATGACCTTAACGCTCAGTTAACCCGCAGGTCCAGGCGTGCGAGGCGGGGCTGGCTGGAGGTCAGCCTGAGGCAGGGGCCAGTGGACCCCCACGGCGAGCTGCTCCACAGGTCAGGGCCAGATCGAGCCACCACATGGTAGGGCAGGCCGTGCCTGCGGGAGTCGGCGGGGCTGGGCCAAGTAAGGTGGAGCGGGGACCCCACACCCAGAACGCTGCTGGCTGTCCTGTACCTGTCTGTCCTACCTGCTCGGAGCCTCCTGGGCCGGCCTGCTGGGAGCTGCCTGGCTGTGGGCCCACCGGGGGCGACGGCACTCCCATCCCGGGAGCTGGCCGGGGTCCCTACGGAGAGAGGGTGGCTGTGGTTGGCGAGGGGACTGGGGCAGGGGGTGGTGGTGGTGTTGGATTCTGCGGGCTCTGCTGGAGCTCCCGCCCAGAACCCCCACAGCCCGGGCCTGAGAACAGCCACTCGGCCCTCCCTCCCTCCTCCGGGAGCCCACCGCAGCCAGCCCTGTGGGAGGAGCGCGTGGGGACGGACTGCGGACTCTGGGACAGGTTGGCGATGCCTGGGACCCTGGGCTGGGTGGGAGCGCATGTCAGGAGCCGGGAAGGGGTGGGGTGCCCGGGCCAGGGCCCGATAGTGGGTCTGCTGGCGCCAGGTGGCCCAGCTCTTGAAAGGTGGGTTGGAGGCCAGGGCCGACAGCTGGGCTCTGTGGTGGCCACGTGTCAGTTTCTCAGCACCCCAGGAATACTGGGGAACTTAGGGCCTGGGTCCTCAAGGTGCTAAGGGCATGAAAAGCAGGACCCCTGAACAACCCAGCAAGAGGCCTGCTCAGTGGGGGCCTGGCCCCAAATAAGGCTGCAGCTCAGGGCTGGTGAACACCAGTCAGAGCAAGCACAAAATGGCGCCAGACTCTTGCAGGGCGGGGTGTCACCCAGGGCGGGGGAGCCAGAGTCTGCACATGGCAGGGGTAGTGTGCACAGGGACTGTGTGACCCACCCAGGTGCCCAGGGTGCCAGCTTGGGTGTAGATCTGCAGCCAGGGATCCAGGGAGGGACCCAGAAAGGCCCTGAGATCCCCAGTCCTGAGTGGGCTCCTCGGGACACTATGGGGGGCAGTGGAGGTCACAGTCCTTGCAGTTGCCTGTGGTGGTCAGGACTGCCGAACCCCTTGGGCACCCCGGCATCTGGCGCCTGCCCTGTCCCACCCTCCTGCCTTCCTGCCTCTCTCCTCCCTCATTACCCACCACCTCCAATACCTGTTCAGCCCCTGAGGACGGGTGGAGAATCAGGGTGGGGATTCTGATCCCGGATCCCTGAGGCTGAGGGTGGCAGGAGGAGCTGAGATGCTCAGAAAGTCCTGGGAGTCTAACTTCGGTGTCCCCACACCCCAAACCCTAAAGGAAACCCAGGCAACGGCCTTCCCTGTCCTCAGCTCCCCGCTCTGACTTTCCTCTGGTTGGGAAAGAGTTAAGGATGGGCTGAGGGCTGGGCTGGGTGGCAGGGTGGCCTGGAGGCCAGGGCTGTTCGGAGATAATCCCCTCCGTGCCAGGGGTGTGGAGAACAAGGTTAGGGCCCCACGTGGGAAAGGCCCCCGCGCTAGTCCCCTTGGGCCAGGCCTTGGCCTCCTGCTTCTGAGTCCCTGCTGGGCTCACCAGCCTGGCCCTCCCTGCACCAGGGCCCAGGGGCTGTCCGCTGTCCTCTGTCCTCGAGGCTCTCCCAAGGGCCTCTGGGCACCTGCCTGCCCCTTCAGTCTCGATCTCCACAGTGCCTGTGTGCTCCAGGTGCTCAGCCCCTATCTGTCTCAGGCTCCTGAGCTGTCCTGTGTCACCCTGGTCCTCCTCTGTGCCAGGCCCTTCCTCTAGGCCTGTCACCTCCACTCCTCCTGTCTGCTGTCTCTGCCTCTGTCCCTTCCCTGCTCCATTTCTCTGTCACTGAGTCCTCCTCACCCACAGTCACCTTGCCCTGCATAGCTCTGCTCACTGTCTCCTGTCCCTCTCTAGGTTTCTGCATCTGGTGGCCTCTGCTGTCCCTCTCTTCTGCCCCCCTGGGGGGGGCCCTGTCCCCTCAACACTGACGGCTAACTCTGGGGTGTTAAGCTACGGATTAGTTCAGGCAAAATTCTCAATTTTGCTTGCGTTCCTTCCCTTTTGGGTTATGTAAACAGTAATTCTGCCCAGATGGAACTATTTTCCTCGCTTCTGAGCAGGTGGGGAGGGGCTCAGGCAGGGCTGGTGGAATGCTGGGTTCCGCAGGGGCCTCTGGTGCTGGGGTGGAGGCTGCCAACTGAGGTCCCACTGGCTACCTCTCCCCACAGGTGCTGGCTCCGCCGTGACCATGCCTGTGACCTTTGCCCTCTTGCTCCTCCTGGGCCAGGCCACCTCGGATCCATGCTACGATCCTGGGGGCCGCCCCCGCTTTTGCCTCCCGCCGGTGACCCGCTTAGACCCAGGCCCACCCGGGGGCCCCCCCCCGCTTTTGCCTCCCGCCGGTGACCCGCTTGGCTGGTGTCTCAGCAGCCTCCTGCCCTCAGACCTGTGGCCTCTCCCCAGGGATGGGCCCTGGCCCCGGGGCTACCTGCAATGGCAGCCTGACGGTGGACCTGGATGGCCCTTTCCTCCTCACGGCTGTCAGCCTGCGCTTCTGCACCCCAGGGCCCCCAGCCCTAGTTTTGTCTGCTGCCTGGGCCACTGGGGGTCCTTGGAGGCCTCTGTGGCGCAGAGCCGCCTGGCCCGGGGCCTTGGGGGGCCCTGAGAGGGTGACCTTCCGCTCCCCTCCGGGCCCTCAGGCCAGGGTGGTGGCGCGCCACCTCCGGG